AACAATAAAAAAATTATCCCAAATGAAACCTAATTTATATTTTTTAAAATTTTAAATAATTTATTTTATTTTTTTAAAAATAATCTGATCTATTTAAAAGCTTATTTAATTTATTGTTATTATGATATATATATATATATATATATATTTCTTTTATTTTACTTTTCCATATATCATTTTCATCATTCATCTCTAGGCCATATTCATAGAGACATTTTGGTGGTTGGCTGTGTGAACTCTTAAAGCCCAAAAGGCAAAAGCAGAGCCGATGACCAGTGGAAGCTGCGTGCAAAAAATTTTTTTATTTATTATTTATTATTTATTTTTATTTTTTACAGAAGTTTATGAATTATGAGCACTCAATATTTTTTATTTATTTTTGAAATTAATTCTCATTCCATTAAGATAGAGGATATTTGATTAAATTAAAAAAAATTATATCAAAAATCTTAAGGCAATGTAAGAGGAATGAATTAATAACAATGATATAATATGGGAAATTTTTTTTAAGGAGCATGATATTAATTTAAATTAGGAATATGAATAACATAGTAATAAAAATTAAAAAGAAACAAACTTGCTAAATTATTTGGCATATTCTAGAGAATTTGGTGCATTCAGAACTAGCCAAATCATTTGGTGCATCGTTCTTTAAAATGTGCTAAATTATTTGGTGCATTCACCGTATTTAGCTAAATTAAAGTCCGAAATTACTGCATCAATGCACCAAACAGTTTGGCGCATTCAATAGAATGCACCATTCTGTTTAGCTAATTTTCTTGTTCTAAAATTTTTTAATGCTCTGCTCTTATTTATAATTTAAATTATACATCATGTTCCTATTTATAATATCCCGTCTAATGAGAGAGAGAGAGAATAATTTTTTTTAATGGAGAAAGGAAAACAAAGCTATTTAGCATTCTCTTCTAGAAACAACAAATAGTGTGAATCAACGACAAATGGGAGCTGAACTATTGATGGCCAAAATTGGAGAAATGTTTGGCATTTACAAAGCTATTTGTACTCTTTTGGCTACATATGGAGAATCTCTCCACCACATTGAAGGGATCCTCAAATTTTCATTTACCCAATTTGATTGTATCACACTAAAAATAAAAAAATTAACATACCAAGATTAATTTTTATTCATAGTTTTTGAAATCAAATTGAATAAAAACATGCTTTAATCAGAGAACCTAGATTACTAATGTTGTTACTCTTTTTCAACTAAGAGTTCGTTTAAATCAATTGCAATTTTTTTATAAAGTTGACTGTAAAATTATCAAGAAAAAATTTACTTTTTGACAGGTGCTGTAAAAATTACATTTTAATATAATTTTTTTTTTTGAAAACAATGAAAAATAACGGCCAAACGAAAAAACAAAGCAGTAAGAAAACTATTCCAAATAAAGTCTAAGAGTATCATTTAGGTGACATGGTTATGATCATTACAACTATTAACGATATATTTTGGTTCTTTTACAACATCAATTTGAAGTCATTCAGGCTTCGTTTAGGACGACTTTTTTAATGCTTCTTAAAACCTTTTTTTAGTTAAAAAAAATTAAATTTTTATACTTGAAACTGCTTTAAGAAGCAATAACAAAGCCATCCCAAACGCAGCCTCAATCTAATTTAGCATGCTAATTGAAAAAAAAAAAAATCTAATGAGCCAAGTTTGAGGGCTTACCCTCATAATTAGGCTAAATTACTACATGCGGTCACCAGACGTTGTCTCGAGGCCAAGAAGAACGAGCCACATTACCAATTCAGATGACATAACATGTCCTGATTGACCTCTGAATAATTCGGTGACTGCATATAATAATTTTTCCTAATATTTAATTTTATTTAATTGACATAGGATAGACCGGACGTAGCTTCCATATGTCATAATGGTATTAATTAGATCTTCTATCAAGCGTATAATGCATATTTTATAGATATTAATTAAATAAAAATAATTAGGCTGTCCTAACCTGTTCTCGGCTAATTAAAATAAAATGGTTTACAATGACTACAAGGAAACGAAAGTTTGTCTAATGATTGTTTTGATAGCAAGACAGATTTTAGAAATTTAAAATAATATTTAATACACTATATGTTTATCAGAAGTTTAGCATCTCTCTCTCTCTCTCTCTAACTGGCTGGAATTTGGCAGTAGCTTATTCTTAATCAATTATTGGCTTTTTATTAAGCTGAATATCGATAAGGTTAAATAAGATTGCATTTGAATATATAATAAATTTATTATAAAGGGAGAGCGAGATTATTATCTTTTATTATTATTAAGTAATTAATTAAAATTTAAAATTTATTTTTTAACTGTTTTGATTATTAAGTAATTAATTAAAATTTATGATGCATGTAAAAAAATATATAATTATAGTTTCATTCAATTGTTTTTAGCACATTAGCAGTAGATATATATAGGCATGCACATGACCTGAAATTACATATATACCACTGAATCTTTTAGGCATTCATATAGCAAACACCTTACTATTTATGTTATCTTATACAACATACTAACACTCTAGATCAAATAAAAAATATTACTAATAAAATCTATCTTTTTATGCATATATTTTAATATTCAATACAAAAATATTATATAAATAATATAAAAATTTAAATATTAGATATTTAAATAAATAAGAATTTTTATGATATTTTTTATTTATAGCAAACAATTGGGCATGTGTAAATAAGGACATGTTTGTCATTTACGACACATTGGAGGATATGCAGGTTCACAATGTAGCTTCGTTAGGGACAATTTTCTTATTGTTTTATGAAGTAATTTTTTAATATCAAAATTTTTTGTAACAAAAAACTACTTCATAAGATAGTAAAAAAAAACTGTCGTAAACAAGAAAAGTTATTTTGTGCGGACACTGGACAATGTCCGGAGACCAACCAGAACACACCACGTCGCTTTTTTGCTCGATACCAGTGCTTGATACCGCTGTATGCCGAGTGACGTGGTGCGTTGTGATTGGCCTCCAGACCGTCCAATTTTCGCACATTATAATTTGGGCAAATTTTCGAAGTAAGAATAATTAACAAGGAAAAATTTTAAGAGTAAGCATGATTAGAAATTGTATTAACAAATTAAGCATGTTTTAAAAAAAATTTAAATTTAGGCAAAATCCCTTGTTGAAACGATGACTTATGCTGACTAGGATTGTAGCCGTTATGCTGACCTGACAAATAAATGCTTATAGTAATAAGTCGCCCGAATAATAGATGACTTATAAGTCGCCCGTTAAACTTAGCCTATAATTAAAAAAAAAATTTAATAAAAAAAATTCTACAAGTTAACGAATTTTAATGTTAATTAATATGAGTCAATAAATGAGATTCATTTTATGGATAATAAAACCAAAAAAACGAACATTCTTCCTATTGAAGGTTTTCCTGTTTTGTAGTCCTTGAAGCACAATTTTTTTTTTATTCTAAAAAAATATTAAGAATCATATTTTTAAGTGACTTGCAACAATTATTTAATGAGTGTTTCATTATAAATACAAGAAAAATTTTTAAATTGGCTCAGGTACTAGGCAGGTTAAAAAAGACTTTTAAATAAAATGCTAATAATTTAAATGATCCATAACATAAGCATACTGAAATTAAATAATCCATAACATAAGCATACTAAAATACATAAAAGGATGAACTAGCGTCGCCTACGTGGCCTCTGTGGCAAGGCATCGAGGCAATGCATCGATGCCTGGAGTGTAATGTTGTGGAGGTCGTCGTGGCCTTTGACGTAGCATGTGATGTTCCTCCTCAGCAACTTCTTCCTCAGCTATGTTATCTCTATGAAGGGAGCTCGGTACAAAATCTGGGGTGAGGTATGCATCCAAATCCGCTGGCATATGGTTACTGAAGAGGTCCGCAGAGGGCCCTTGATCAGGATAAGAGAAGGGTCCAACATATCCACTATAATGCTGAGGAGGTTCTTGGATCATAGAAAATGGTGTATCATGTTCACTTCTATCCTCAAAATATCCTTGATCTTGAATATACAACTGCCTACGCAAACCACGACAAAGCTCTGCCACCGTGTTTATGTCCATATGTTGTTGTGTATCATTTGTACTATTGAAGTGTTGTTGCAAAGCTTGTTCAGTACCAAGAAAAAAAATCCCTCTGAATTAACAAAAGAAATTTGTTATTATTAAAATAAAAAAAAGAAATTATTTAAGAAATTTATAGAATATTCAAACGTACCAGAAGGTGCTCAGAGGGAGCTCTAGGATATGCTGTTGGCTCAACAGGTGCCTTCAACATATATAGTGTTGCCCATGACTTGTACCACTGTATGTAGTGATGAATCGAGTTGTTATTATGCTGGTCAAGGAGGTCCCCTGTAACTATGTATCCACGCCCACTCTCCCATATGACAATGTGTGCTTGGTGGTACAACATCCAGTCCATGTCTGATTTTCCACGACCATCTACCCTTTTGAAGCTTGGATCCATTGGTTGGATGTTAGTAGTTGGGCATAATCCAAATTGTCGTAGTACTCTATCTGGCAAGTGCCACTCAACCCTCTTCCAACTGATCAGAGGCACTCGTGCAGTCCAAATGTCCTCCCCTGATAGAAAAATCTGTGCGACCTGAGCTTGAATATTAGGCGTGTATGGCTGCCAAATTACCTGCATTTTCAATAATAAGTTCTATAAGTTTGAATTAACAAGTTAATTTTTTATTTCAAAACTTTAAGAAGATACCTGACTATCAAGTAAACCATCGAGCTCATCTCTATAGCTAATAATATTTCCAACAGGCAACTCTCTTAGCCGATCATCATTCCACCTATTACATTTATATTATAAATAAATAAGATTTTATTGCATGTAGTATTAAAAAAATTAATTAAATAAAATTATCTCATACCTGAACCTAACACTAAGACCATGAAGTTTCACTGAAAAGGGAACACGAAGCAATGGTCGTCCTACATGCAGATGCTCCCAAGCCCAGATTTGTACCAAATGAATGCATCCAGCTATATTGACCCTACTAGGCCGTGTTGCTTCTCCAAACTCTATATACAAATGGGCTAAAATTGCTCCTCCAAGAGAGTGTACTGAATACTGCCAAATCCTCCATAATAGTAATGTATTGTAAATATCTCTGAACCTGAAGTATCCGGGAGGAGGTGACAGCCTAATATGAACAATATGTAAGCTCGAACATGCCTCCAAAAATCAATATCGTTCAGGTCCAAGTAGGAGTCACGACAAAATGTCCATCGCAACCATCTGAGGGGAATACAAGTTTGTGCATGTGCCTGTCCCATACGAAACCTTGATGTGATGCGATGATCCAATGGGTCCCGATATGCAACATCTGGTAGTGGATGGCTCCCAAGAGGTCATCACAGTAGTCTGATCAACTAAGCCAACGTCTCCCAGCTCCAACAACATCATGCCCTACCAAAGCAGAACCATCTATATAGACACCCAAAATCATAGCAACATCCTGCAAGGTAATTGTCATCTCGCCAACAGTTAGGTGAAAACTATTTGTCTGTGGTGACCACCTCTCCATTAAGACTGTCAACAAATGGTGGTCCATCCGTAAATATCTCATTTGGCTAACACAATCTAGCCCAACCATTCTTAAACCATACATAAATCTTGGGCAATTCACCGTCCATTCGTGCACCATTAGAAGATGTGATGCTGCTTCCAATATTGTTCCCTACAAAGACGTATAATTAGTAAGAATTAGCTTAAATATTTAGTATAATCATAAAAAGTTCAATAAATATTGGATGTACCCCATCAGGATGTGCTAATCTATGTATACCATGTAACGAAGCAATGTTAGGATGAACCTGAGTTGGAGGTAGTGCATCACTACCACCCTCTCCTGAGGGCTCACCGGTCGTACGTTTCTTTCTACGACGTCGTATAAAGATATGATACAGAGATTGTGCTTGCTCGTAACTACGGGGAGTAGCTCATTCACTTGTCTCAGAAACCATATCCATGATTCGTTACACTCTAACTCAACTATAACAAATGCAAGTGTATATAGACCATTATTAACATCCATTCCGATCGCAGTTAATAATGTCCCCCGATATTTACCGAGTAGGAATACCCCATCAAAACACAGAACTGGCCGACAATAATTCCACCCAGTAATGGAAGGACCAAATTCCCAGAATAGTATTTGAAACGTATTTGTCTGTGTGCTTTGAATTCTATATACCGTTTCAGGCATTGCAGAGGCAACAACATCCATGAATAAATTAAGAGTACGATAAGACTCCTCCCAACTGCCAAAAACAACTTTAATTGCCTTCCTCCGAGCATCCCAAACATTCATGTATGACACTTTAATATTGAACTTCGAAAATTTGCCCAATTAACAATTTAACTATACGATTAAGCGTGGCGCTGGAAGAATTTATAAATAGGCAAAGTCGCTCGTTTGAAAGGCGACTTAGGTGCAATCCAGAGGACGACGTGGATAATTTAATTAAGTCCAAGTCGTCCGTTTAACGAGCGACTTATAAGTCGTCCGTTAAACAGGCGACTCAGACTGAAGTCTTAATTGCCACATCATCTGCGACGTCGTCCTCTGGATTGCATCTAAGTTGCCTTTCAAACGAGCGACTTTGCCTATTTATAAATTCTTCCAGCACCACGCTTAATCGTATAGTTAAATTGATAATTGGGCAAATTTTTGAAGTTCAATATTAAAGTGTCATATATGAAGGCTTGGGATGCTCGGAGGAAGGCAATTAAAGTTGTTTTTGGCAGTTGGGAAGAGTCTTATCGTACTGTTAATTTATTCATAGATGCTGTTGCCTCTGCAATGCATGGAACGGTATATAGAATTCAAAGCACACAGACAAATGGGTTTCAAAGACTATTCTGGGCATTTGGTCATTCCATTACTGGGTGGAATTATTGTCGGCCAGTTCTGTGTCTTGATGGGACATTCCTACTCGGTAAATATCGGGGGACATTATCAACTGCGATCGGAATGGATGCTAATAATGGTCTATATCCACTTGCATTTGCTATAGTTGAGTCAAAGTGTAACGAATCATGGATATGATTTCTGAGACAAGTGAATGAGCTACTCCCCGTAGTTACGAACAGGCACAATCTCTGTATCATATCTTTATACGACGTCGTAGAAAAAAACGTACGACCGGTGAGCCCTCAGGAGAGGGTGGTAGTGATGCACCACCTCCAACTCAGGTTCATCCTAACATTGCTTCGTTACATGGTACACATAGAGCAGCACATCCTGATGGGGTACATCTAATATTTATTGAACTTTTTATGATTATACTAAATATTTAAGCTAATTCTTACTAATTATATGTCTTTGTAGGGAACAATATTGGAAGTAGCATCACATCTTCTAATGGTTCACGAATGGCCGGTGAATTGCCCAAGATTTATGGATGTTTTAAGAATGGTTGGGCTAGATTGTGTTAGTCAAATGAGATATTTACGGATGAACCACCATTTGTTGACAGCCTTAGTGGAGAGGTGGTCACCACAGATAAATAGTTTTCACCTAATCGTTGACGAGATGACCATTACCTTGCAGGATGTTGCTATGATTTTGGGAGTCCATATAGATGGTCCTGCACTGGTAGGTCATCCTGTTGTTGGAGCTGGGAGACGCTGGCTTAGTTGGCCAGACTGCTGTGATGACCTGCTTGGGAGCCATCCACTGGCAGATGTTGTATACCGGGACCCATTCGATCATCGCATCACCTTAAGGTTTCATATGGGACAAGCACATTCACAGACTTGTGTTCCCCTCAGATGGCTGCGTTGGACATTTTGGCGTGACTCGTACTTGGACCTGAATGATATGGATTTTTGGAGGCATGTTCGGGCTTACATTTTGTTCATATTGGGTTGTCACCTTCTCCCAGATACTTCAGGTTCAGAGATACATTTACAATACCTGACTATTATGGAGGATTTAGCAGTATTCAGTACGTACTCTCTTGGAGGAGCAGTTTTAGCCCATTTGTATAGAGAGTTGGGAGAAGCAACACGGCCTAGTAGAGCCAACATAGCGGGATGCATCCATTTGTTACAAATCTGGGCTTGGGAGCATCTGCATGTAGGACGACCACTGCTTCGTGTTCCTTTTCCAGTGGAACTTGGTGGACTAAGTGTTGGGTTCAGGTATGAGAAAATTTTAATTATTATATTTTAATAATACTACATGCAATAAATTCTTATTTACAATGTTAATGTAATAGGTGGAATGAGGATCGTCTCAGAGAATTGCCGGTCGGAAATCTCATTACCTATAGAGATGAGCTCGATGGTTTACTAGATAGTCAGGTATCTCCTTAAACATCTGAATTGAAAAATTAACTCTTTATGTCACATTTACTAATCTAATTTTTACAAAAATAGGTAATTTGGCAACCATATACGCCCGATATTCAAGCACAGGTTGCACAGATTTGTTTGTCAGGGGCGGACATTTGGACTGCACGAGTGCCTCTGATCAGTTGGAAGAGGGTTGAGTGGCACTTGCTAAGAGAGTTGTCTATTGGAAATATCATTAGCTATAGAGATGAGCTCGATGGTTTACTTGATAGTCAGATATCTTCTTGAAGTTTTGAAATAAAAAATTAACTTGTTAATTCAAACTTATAGAACTTATTATTGAAAATGCAAGTAATTTGGCAGTCATACACGCCTGATATTCAAACTCAGGTCGCATAGATTTGTGTATCAGGGAAGGACATTTGGACTGCACTAGTGCCTCCGATCAATTGGAAGAGGGTTGAGTGGCACTTGCCAGATAGAGTACTACAATAATTTGAATTATGCCCAACTACTAACATCCAACCAATGAATCCAAGCTTCAAAAGGGTAGATGGTCGTGGGAAATCAGACATGAACTGAATGTTATACCACCAAGCACACATTGCCATATGGGAGAGTAGGCATGGATACATAGTTACAGGGGACCTCCTTGACCAGCATAATAACAACTCGATTCATCACTACATACAGTGGTACAAGTCATGGGCAACACTATACATGTTGAAGGCACCTGTTGAGCCTCCCACAACGGCATATCCTAGAGCTCCCTCTGAGCGCCTTCTGGTACGTCTAAATTGAATATGCTATAAATTTCTTAAATACTTTTTTTAAAACAATAACAAATTTCTTTTGTTAATTCAGAGGGATTTTTTCCTTAGTACTGAACAAGCTTTGCAACAACACTTCAATGGTACAAATGATACACAACAACAGAGCTTTGTCGTGATTTGCGTAGGCAGTTGTATATTCAAGATCAAGGATATTTTGAGGATAGAAGTGAGCATGAATCTCATTTATTAACTCATATTAATTAACCTTAAAATCCGTTAACTTGTAGAATTTTTTTTTAATTATAGGCTAAGTCGCCCGTTTAACGGGCGACTTATAAGTCGTCTATTATTCGGGCGACTTATTACTATAAGCATTTCTTTGTCAACTCAGCATAACGGCTACAATCCTAGTCAACATAAGTCGCCATTTTAACAAGCGATTTTGTCTATATTTAAATTTTTTTTAAACATGCTTAATTTGTTAATACAATTCCTAATCATGCTTACTCTTAAAATTTTCCCTTATAATTTCTATGTAAACAAAGCCTAAGTTCTCCCTAAGTTCTAAGCTGTTGTCCAAAATTAGTGAAGCACAAATAAATTCATAAACAATGGGAGAAATTTTAGGAATCTGCTTCCACATACAACAGAAGAAGCTGATTTGTAGAACTTCAGCAAAATGCAATGTATTAGTAAAGTAGAACGCAGCTACTGAAGACATCTTTAGGGGTTTGAGATATGAAGACCTAAGGAAATAGAAAATAAACGGTTAACAATGGTTATCACATAATTGATGATTTTGTCTCATCTAAATAACATATCTTATGCTGTACATAATGACCTTGCTCAGCCAGGTAAAAAGTTCTACAGCTGAACAGAATGGGAACAAAAAAATGAGGTTTGTAACGCGCGCTCAAACTATCACGAGCAGTGGCTTCTAGCTGCGCTTAGGAATCCAGGAATTGAAGGATCTGACGGGGAAAATTGTTAGCACAACAAAAACAAAATGGTTGAAGGTTAAATGCATCTCTGCAGCACATTATCATTAGATCATAACACCCCAGTTACCCCATCATTTTTAAGTTGTGAAACTTAGGGGTGTAGGTGAGCCGAGCGCGCTCGATTTTTGACTCGTTAACAAGTTCATTAGTTAAACTTATCGAGCATTGAGCTAGACCTTGAACTCAAATTATAGCTCTTATATTAAGCTTGCCCAAGTCAGGTTCAGCTCATTGGCTTGCAAATCGACTCAATTTAAAAAAAAAAAGGGTAAGCCTAAATCCCATTTTCCCCTCACTTCCTTCTAAGATTTTCAATTGATTGCTTGAAGTTATAAAACATGTTTTCCAAAATGGTATTTACTGGATTCAATAAGTTGGTTGGATGTAGTTAGGAATTAAACTCTAAAATCACCTTAAAAACACTTCCAAACATGAAAATTCCATTTTACCCCAAAAAACGAGCAAAAACAAAATAATTAGTTTCTAAAACACGTTTCCTATCAACGAGCAAACAAAATGAACTATACATTAGTTTCTATGGGATATTCCTATGAAATATGAATTTTTAGAATCATAAAAGGGCAGACATCTGGGTCTCTGAGTTTGTCAAGAACAAAAGCAAGGTTCGTTATTGCTGCCTGCCAAATTCTATTAATTCTTCAAATGTGATAAGCAATCAGGAAAGGATGACATAGATCTAAATAGAAATCATATAAATTACAGAGGATGTGATTCACCATCTAAAATTATTTCATCGAGAAAAGAGATGATATCGATTGAAAGCTCAATGAGTAGTTTTTCATGAAGTGTTGCTCCAAAACAAGATTTTTAGCCGTTTAGTAGGATATATTGCTTAGCATCTTAGCCTTATAGAAGTTTCCAAGTACTTAGAAACTAGCTTATTTAATGCCCACAAAAGCTTGGTCATACAAAAAGTGATAGATCATCTTTGATGTTAATGATCCAGGGTGGAAGTTTATGTCCTGATACTTTCTTCAAGGGAGAGCTTTCCTATGTAATATGTTAGACCGGTCTAGCCAATCCATACGGGACCGACTCAACGAAACAGAGGTAGAAGTTCCGCCTCAGCCTCTTGTACCAGTCACACAAGCCGTTGGATCCAAAAAAACTATTTAGAAAGGATTTTTGAGGGAGTTAGGAGGGAAATTTGAATGTAGGGACTGTTTAGAGTTTTTTTTTTTATTGTATCCATTAAATAGTTTGTTTTCCTAGGATTAGGGCATCTTGAATTTGGCTGAAATTTTAGCTCTTAAGTTTAGGTTTTTGGGCTCTAGCGGCGTCTAGAGGATTGAGAGAGATAGATCCTCCTCTCGAATAGAGGATCAATTGTATCTTGCTATTTACTTCCATTAGTTTGTGTTCTTGCAATAAAATTCATGTGTTTCACTGATTTTCCATTGGATTTATGGATCGCTCTAGCAGATTTCATCAAGATAGTTAGGTTTTACATAGGAATTCCAAGTATTTCCTATCATAATCATTTTCTTGTAGAACAATGTCTATGCTTTTGAGCTGGTCTCTTCCAGATTTGTACTCTTTATGTATAGCAAAACGATGGATGTAAACAAATTTAAACTCATTCATGATGCCATTCTAAAGACAACTTATAATTACCAATACTAGTTGAAATTCTGAATCCATTTATAAGAAGAACATATGACATCTAAAATTGCATTAAACTCACAAAGCGCAACAAGGACATTAACTAGTCCGAAGGAGTTGCGACGATTCAGCTTTTTGGTCGACCAGAAACAAAAACCCTAGTAGCATAAGCATATAAAAAACATGAAGAAATTAGGATAAGGAAAAGTACAAGGGTCGGCCGTAGCTAGGGCTTGAAGGTGTACGGCTGAGGGAGAGAAATGGGACCTCTGCGGGATTCGTCGTTGTCGAGAAGCCTCTTCACTCTTTTCTTAGCGCAATACTGACGATCAAAGTGCTTCACCTGTTCAAATCCATCAGAAATTGGGGAAATTTTCTTGTTTCAATAAGTAGAAAGGCAGGTAACAACGATACCCAAGTGGGGCGACAACTCTTGACGAATTCGTCTCTGGAACCCTTGCATTCGGCCGGGTATAGAAGGCCGACGGTCGCCACCTCCGTTGGCTTCTTGTCCGCCTCCTTCTCCAAGCAAGCATAGAAGGCGTCCCGAGCCTAACCATCGAAATTAGAGAACAATCATCAGAGAGAGAGAGAGAGAGAGAGAGAGAGAGAGAGAGAGAGGAGCAGGGAACTGATACCTTATAGCATGATTCCCTGCCCTTGGAGAGAACGTCCACCATTATCACCATGCGGGAGGCCGGAGCTTGAAGTGTTGGTCTTCGGGATAAAGAGCGCGCTAAAGGCAGGGAGGCCAGGAAGAGAGGCAGCAGAGAGGGAGTCTCTCTAGCCCCAGCCATCTTCAATCTTTTGGCTGTCTTAATTGATAAGGTTCACTATCAGTATTGCGAAGGTGAAATATAATCGTAGATGTTGAAAATTGCTCCTCTATACCTTGCTGGTGACATGTTGATAGGTAGAGGGAAACAAAATGCAAGAATATCAGAATTTGTTATTATTATTATATATATTTTTTCAAATTTCAAACCTGAATGGATAAACCAATGCGAAAGCTTAGGAAAAAAAATCAACTAAAAAAATTTGATAATATTTTAAAAATTATTAATTTGTGCCCTACTAAAAAAATTTCAAGCTCCGCGACCCACTCATAACTAAGAAGAATCTAGATAACCCGACCAAGATGTCCCACAAGGATTAATTCCTAAATATCCTTCCCATAACAACTCAAAATGCTTAATCCACTTAAGCAAAGATTATAAACCCTAAACATAAAATATTAGATATGATGGAGATTAGATGATGACATGACATCTGATGCATAAATTAAGCGTCCTTTACATTGAAGGAGACGCACAATCAGAATGCAATAAAAGACTAACTATCAATAATTTCATGAGCATGTTTGTCGTTTCTATGAACAAAAAATTCCATATTTACAAATTTACTAAAATAGTCTAAATACTGCACCATATCTACTATTTTTTAAATTTTTTAGCTCTTTTATTTATTTTTTTAGGCAACGGGGGTATCTACTCGCTGCTACTTTCATAGGAAGCATAGGCGGATGGAGGGGGGGCACGTGCTCCCCCTAAAAAAATTGATTTTTTTTAAAATCTCAAGAAAAATTAAATTGGAAACTTCAAGAATTAAATCGGAGACCATATGAACTCCGATTTCAATAAACTTATAGTCGAACTGAACGTCTCGAAAATACGAACCCAACAACACCAAATTCAACTCAATCCGAACCGAAATGACTCCAAATCAAAGACCCGAAGCATATTTGGAAGGTTCAAACCATAATTTGTATTACCAAACGGTTTCCAAAAATGACATTCTTATAGTCGAATCGAGCGGCTAGACAAGACGAATCCAACGAGCCCAAGATCGCCGAATTCTGATATTACTAAGACATTTAAATGCCCAATAAACGGTCCACGATTAAGATTGATCATCCATTCAAATCACTCCCAATTTAATTTCTTATTTATTTACATTCTTTCTTTAATGATATTATCTTAATCCTATATTAATTCAATCTTAAATAGATTTTATAATTTTTTTTCTCTGTGTGCAATGAGATTTTTAATATCACATATTTAATTAATATATTAAACATGTTCTAGCAGAAATCAAATGATTTGATGATTGAAGTCATTTTATGAAGAAAGAAAATAAACTAATTTACTACCAAAGTTTTATCATTTTTAATACTGATTATATTGATCCTAAGCCTGAATGTAAAAAATTAAATGAAAATTTAAAAAAAAAATTTAGGCCCCCCCTAGATATATTTTCTGGCTCCGCCACTGATAGGAAGCGCTTAATGGTATAACTAATCCCTCGATAAGCCTACCAAACATACCAGAAACCAATCCCATAGGTGCAAGGCTCATAATTATTTTCTCCCCACTTAAAAGGTCGTACGATATGAGATAGAAATCGAACATGAATTACGAGTTTCCAATCATGCTCGCCTACTAATCCAACTAAGCCCGCTGAGGTACCATATCTACTGTTCAAATACGGTCTTAACAATCATTTAAGACAAAACTAATATCTTCTGTTATCCTGTAATAATATTTATTTATTAATTTTAGTACATAGAATAGTCATTAAAAATTAACAATCAGCACACTGAAACGTCAGCCTACCGTGCTGAGGCGTACCGCCCAGCACCCACGGATCCGTGCACATGCAATAATAAAAATAAAAAACTCTTTTCCCGCTTCTATTTAAAAAAAAAAAAAAAAATCACACATATCATAATCACACTTTGAACTCAAACAAAACACTCCTCTCCTTGATTTGGGAAATTATTATGTGCGGCCTCCGGATTCGTTTGGAGGCGAATCTGGACGCGCCACGTACGTCACCCGGGGCCCGGTGCATCCGGGTGACGTGGCGCGTCCGGATTCGTCTCGAGACGGTCTGGACATCACACATAATAATCTCTCCCTTGGTTTGTTAGTTAGGAGCTTTTGCTACCTAAGAAGTCTTGAGTTCGAGTCTTACGTATGTGATATGTATGCGAGTTTGTGTGTGTGTGTTTTTTTTTTTTTGTTAAAACCCATAGAGGGGCCTACGCGTTAATATAAAAAACCGGTTACAAAGTCCTTAATAAGAACCTTCAGCTCTCTAATGCTCGTCAGAGCTACAAAGTCAAAAAGAAAAAAACCTATGAGCTGATGGTTCCTAAATCTAAGAGTAACAAAAAAACCTAATAACATGCTAGGGCTGCAAGATGACAGCACCCAAAAATAGAAGAGGATAGGATAAAGAATGAACCCGATCTTCCTGGCAAAATTGTGGTTGAAACCACTAGAGCCCAAAAAATGATGCAGAATCGAGACGACGAACCTAGTGACAATCCAACTCTTGAAGCTGCAAAAAAAGAGACTACAAGGGAGGCAGATAAACTTAAAAGATAGCTAGAAACAGACATTAACCACAAAATCAATTTGGCAATAATGAGACAGAATAAGAGAAACATCACCCATGTATGCGAGTTTGTGTTAAATAGCCTAAATGTCCTATCAAGATGAGCTACGTGCTACCATCAACAGTTATCAAATGCTTAACCTTCTATTCTATTCAATTCAATTCAAATTGGTAGGTTGGGAAAGGTGGTAGCAATGGTGGCTAATGATGGCGGCCGATGATGATTGTAATCTATAGCAATTGGTGGCAGTCGTGTGATAGGAAATACCCACTTTGGAAGCAATAATCAATGAAACCTACTGTCCACAGCGGAAAATGACAGCAAAATAGTGGAAGAAACAGCAAATCTGAGAGAAATAGTGGAGAAACAACTTGTAGTTTACTAGCAGATGAAAGAAAAACAATAAAGATACAAGAGATCCTCTATTCGAGAGGAGAATCACACTCTCCCAATCTCTAGATATCAATCTAGAGCCTTAGCCACAAAAAAACCCAAGAGAACTTTAAGAAAAATCTCACATAACCCTAACCCTAGCCTTTTCTCCCTACTTAATGCATACAATTCAAAATTAATACAAAAGGATCTAATCGCCCTTGCTTCTCCGATTGTATTTGAATATCAAGAGGACCCCACCCTTTCCCACCTCTTTGAAGCCGCCGGCCCCTTCTGTTGTAAACAAGCCGAACCGGCCCAGGGGGCTGGGCCGACTGGACCGGTCCAAGGAGGGGACCGGTCTAACATCGTGATCGACGGTAATGATGATAGGTGATAGGTGATGGCAATCGTAGCAAAATAAACTAAGAGATTAATTTCAAATTCTTTAGAATTTCATTCTAAATATATTTTTCATCAAATAAAATGCTATTATTTCTAAAATCTTGACAGTTAAAATATTTTGCACTGAAATTTTTGGACCAAAAAACTCCATAAAAAGTCTACCGACTGCGTTTATCAGAATGGCACAAAATTAGAACAAGACATAACTAGGGAAAACAATTGGAAACAAAACTAAATATGCTACACAGAACAGTAGTAGCACCGCAAAGACAAGCAGGTATTTTGTATCTTATCAAGCGCATCCAATTAGTTTCTGGAAGAAGGATTACCTTGACAGTAGAAGAAGGATTACCAGCAGGCAAAACTTGAAGGTCAGCTTCTTTCATTGGGAGGATCCTGAAGGCTTTTAATTTTTGTCCTACTGCATGACGCCATAGAGTGTTGCAGTGTGCACTAAGACTTTCACTGGTTTAATCCATACAACCACTTGTTTCTCTGCAAAACAGAAAAATAAATAAAAATGCTAATTAGATAGAATTAGAATGAGCCAAATCATTATAAAAGTGCTTTTTTAATATAAAAAACTCAAAAAAATTTATGTTAGTACTTATGAAGTTAAACAGTTTCTTTGAGGGAGAGAGAGATAATATGAACAGCTTTCACATAAGAAAAAATTATTAAGACATAAGATATTAGATTTAGGCTTCGTTTGGAATAACTTTTTTATTTCTTTCTAAAACAGCTTTTTAGTACAAAAATTTTTTGAACTAAAAAACTGTTTTAGAATGTAGTAAGAAAGCTGTTCCAAATGAAGCCTAGCTTAATGTCCTATAAGAGTATTTGAAAAAATGTTGATGTAGAAAAGCTAGAAGATTAGCTCTCATTCATATTCTTAAACTTTTGACTTGAAAATAACTAAATAAGTACCATTAGGCCATCAAATTAGTTAGAGAAAGAAAGACATTAGGTTTCTTGCAGAAAAAGATGACACAAAATCACTTACAAATCAAATTTCACACAAGAGCAAACGAATGTTTGGCTAGAAGAATGACGCAGATAAGACTGAAACTTACAAACACTAGCCTAAGAACCATGAAGCATACAATATGAGTTAAAGCTCAGAGATTTACTTAGGGCATGCTTAGTGCTCATGCATATTCATATCTTCATCTTCCTATAAGATGCCAGCTTTGATATTTGGTTATTCAAAAAAACTGATATAATGAGCTGTACATTATTTGCTCCCTATCAAACGCATTAGCTTTTATATTTGTTTGATCGATAGTGCTCGATAACTAATTTCTGGCTAAGGGCCGATTTCCAGATTCAAGCAAAGCAAAAACTGATTAGACATACAAGTCCTTGAGTAAACTATGGCAGCTTACTCTACTCATAACATGAGTAGGGAATTATAGAGAAATATTTAGGCTTTGTTTGGGACGGTTTTTTTATTGCTTCTTAAAGCATCTTCTTAGTACAAAAATTTTAATTTTTATACTAAAAAGTTGCTTTGAGAAGCAATAAAAAAGCCGCCCCAAACGAAGCCTTAGGTTGCTCGTCCCACGTTCAGTACCATTTGTAAAACTTGTATAAAAGAAGAAAGGTCCTTTGATCTGCTGAAACTCTATTTGCTAATTAGAATAGTATGTAGAATAGATTTCATTGACATTTCAAAGTTCCAAATCAAACTCCAAATTGAGCAAAAAAGAAATCAGATTCACTCTGTAAAATCTAAGTGCTCTACTATTTTTTGTGCAAATTCTCTTACAAAATACATGATTTATAATGTATTTTAGGTATTACAACATATTTTCTTGGATTGCAATACAGTTTTTTAATATGTTATATGACAATATTTGGCTTAAAAAAAAAATTATAGCTCTCTTAGCTGTTGCGTTGCAAAACTAAGTAAAAAATACTTACAAATACGTATCATTGTCTCGTACTCCAAACTAAATAAAAAAAAGAATTCTTACATAAAATTTCCATAATTCCATGGATTAATCGTGGCATATAAAGTAACAAACAAACAATTTAAAGAACCTTAAAATGCATTTGAATGACTTTAAAGCATAAATACCTGATTGATAGTGCTGCTGCTGCAGAATTAATTATAAATAGAACAATTGCGAGGAGAACTTATGATAAATATGTAAGCATGCTGCTAAAGGGCATTTCTAGCTAACAATAATGACGAAAAAACAAATAAAACCAAAGAAGAGTATGCAGATTAAAAAAAAAAAACTTGGTACCAGCTAGCTAACTAGCTCCAAAATTGAAACACTGCAGCATAGTGAGTGATACGTGATGCATGACTAAAATGTTTTAATTGAATGCGATAAGAATTTACACGATCTTTTGAATAAAACAATTAAGATTAAAACTTTTAGCAATCAAAACGACAAAGTAAAACAAGAGAGGGGTGCCTACGTTTAGGCTAAGCCACTTGCCAAACACTTGGAAAATCAAAACAAGTTATAAATTCAACAATCATGCGAATTAAGTAGCTTTCAACAAAATCTCTAATCTAACAACAAGATTAGAAGCATAGAAAACACGCTCAATCCTACGTTTACTAAGCTTAGGCATAAGACGAAGCATGGCTCCTTGTGAATCGTCACCACCTACAAGATTAAGGTATTAGGAAAGTATTTGAAAAGGGGAAGAAGTTCACCTTTGTCAAGCTCGGATGTAAGTAGTTGAGATGTTGACGAAGTTCGTCGTAGCTTCCTTTGAAGGTTCAACGGGAGAGAAAGAAGTTTCTCCCAAGCGTTGAAGTGTTGAATCCTTTAATGGGAGGGAGGGGGTGGGCTATAGTGGGAGGGAGGGGGTTTAAAGAGGCCTTTAATGCATTCTTAAATTATTAAATTAAGTTTGGAAAGAAATATTTCATCCCATCTTAATTTAAAATTTAAATAAGGTTGGATTTAATAACTTTCCTAAAATAGGATTTCATAAATTAGGTAACTATTTCAAATTCAAATTGATTTGAATTTAATCATAAGTAAAATTACCAAAATTATGAGACCTAATATAGGAAAGATGGGTGGCACGTGGGGATGGGGAAAAAGCCAAAGATGGCCGGCGGTGGGAGGGGTTTACGGCCGTGGAGGGGGGGTGGGGTGGGGGCTTTGGCAGCGGGTGGTGATGGAGGTCTCAATGGCCGACGGTTTAGGAGGTACAGGGAAGCTCTTGGCCGGCAGCTAGGGAATGAAGAACAAAAGAGAAAATAGCTAGGTAAACAAGTAGAACCACAAACCCGGTCGTCTCCAAGGTTGGTGGGTGTTCCAAATTCCCTCTCCAAGGGACCTCGCTCCAATCTCTCAAGCTCTCATAAGAACTCAAACAAAAAGAAAAATTTTTATCATTCAATCATTCATTCATTAAACTTTCAAAGAGAAACATAGGGGCTATAAATAGCATTATACATAAGACTCAAAATAAGAAAGACGACAATGCCCTCAGGGCTTACATACAACCTCCCTTAAGTAAGGGGTAAAAATGGAAAAATAACTACAACATAAATAATAAAAGATAAATAACATAATAAAAGACAAATACATGAAATGACTCAAAACTACATCGACTCGATCGTGGTCGTCGATCGACGGCCACGTCTCTGATAGGCTTTCCAAGATCTGATGTCCCCATCAATACGTCAGAACAAAATTACTATGGTCGAGGATGAATATCAATGCAAATGATCTTCAAATTCCGTAAGCTTATAATTAAATTGAGCGTCTCCATAAGACGAATACAATGAGCAAAAGATCGCTTAATTCCATCCTCATTAAGACACTGATAGGAAATACTTGAGTTAGCAAGCAATCCTATCGGATCTACTTGAGTTCACAAGCAACCCTAATACGAAATTGGTAAAAAACTTCGAGAATATCTAAGATTGGAGATAAAATGGCCAAGAAAATAATAGAACTTTATTGAATACTAAAGCAAACATAAGCTATAAGAAAATATACAATTGATCCTTTATTCGAGAGGAAGATCATTCTCTCCTAATCTCTAAACACTAAGTCTAGGGCCCAAAACTCCAAGAGACTCCAAGAGAACACCAATCTAAGCATAACTTCACCCTTCCCCCTTCATCTCTATTTATAAGCCTTTCTGGCACCATAACTGCCCATCTCACCTTCCATACATATATTTAATTTAGAATTTAAATTCCCCAACTTTCATATATGTATTTAATTTAGAATTTAAATTCCATAGTGGACCCCACTTTAGGAGGAAAGCCTAAAATAGGCTATGGGCCCTACCAGCCTAGGCGGTAAGATTAGGGAGAGGCGGTTTGCACTGCCATTGGTATACCCGGGTCAGTCCATGTGGGTACGGCTGGGTCGGTTCGGGAGGATCCGACCTCTCCCAAGTTGGGTTGGTATGAAACGACCTATCAATACTGCCCTCCCAAAGAGCTACCTTGTCCTCAAGGTGGAAGGAAGGAAACTATTGCTTCACATGCTCATAAGGTTCCCAGGTTGCTTCATAAATTGAAAGCTCTTTCCACTTGATTAACACCTCCTTTAATCCTCCCTCTCCTTGGCGCACCCCTTGTAACTCACAAGGTTCCAAACTTACTTCTAGATCTTCTATTAAAGTGACGGGTAATTCAGATTTGATTGGATAGTCTCCAATAGCTCTTTTTAACTGAGATACATGAAAAACTGGGTGTATAGTAGCCGTTGGTGGTAGATTCAGCCGATATGCCACTGCCCCAATTTTCTCTAAGACTTCATAAGGCCCAAAGTATCTTGGAGCGAGCTTCTCATTCCTTCTGTTGGCCATTGTTTTCTATCGGTAAGGTCGAAGCTTTAGGAAGACCTCCCCAACTTCGAACTGGACATCCTTCATATGCCCATCAGCTTGTTGTTTCATAATCTGTTGGGCTCTCTGAAGGTGTTTCTTTACTTTTTTAACACTTTGTCTCTTTCCTCCAAGTATTCTTCTACTCAAGAAACGAGAGTGCTGCTACTACCACAGGGCACCAAGAGAGGAGGATCCCTTCTGTACAACACCTTGAAAGGGGTCATCTGAGAAGAAGAATGATAAGAGGTGTTGTACCAATATTCTGCCCATGACAGCCATTTGGCCCAGAGCTTAGGTTTCTCTGATACGAAGTACCTCAGATAGGTCTCCAAGCTTATGTTAACCACTTATGTATGACTATCTATCTGTGGGTGGTAGGCACTACTTTTAGAACTATTTCTTGTAATATGAACAACTCCCTCGAGAAATGGCTGAGGAATACTTTGCCTCTATATGATATTATTGCCTATAGTACTCCATATAATCTGACTATCTCCCTGATGAAAGTGGCTACCATTGTTGTTGCGGTGTAGGGGTGCCGAAGAGGAATGAAGTGTGCGTACTTGCTGAGTCTATCCACCACCACCATGATGACTGTGAATCCTTCGGATCGGGGTAGACCATCTATAAAAATCATGAACACTTCGTCCCATACCCTGTTTGGAAGTGCCAAA